CTCTCTCTCTTTCGTTCTTTCTTTCTCTCGCCTATCCCCACCCCGGCTATCCTCACAAATACATACACTTACAAAAAAAAACAACCCACACACACCCTTCCTTTCTGTACTTGCTATCTCTCCGATTGTCTGTCTGATTGTCTCCGATTATCTTCGATTGTCTGTTCATACGGACCGCGCAGTCCAGCATGATATAATTGATCTAACACACGCACTATCTTGACCTCCCTTTTCTTTTCAACAGGAGAGTATTGTCAGTTGTTTTGAGGAGACTGGTCGTTTGCTGGCCATGGAAACAGGAGCTGTGTGACGTCATCTTCTGTTTCGTTTCAGATTTTGTAATGAAAAAAAAATTGTTGTAAGTGTTTTACGGCGCTGGCAACTGCATATGGTCATGTGAGCGCGCGGGGCACACCAAACATTTACAGTTGGTAGGAAATTTTGAATTTTCTCCGGGTGGCGGCCGAAGCCTACTCTTACCTAATTTTAGACCACCAAGGGATCTTTAACGGGCGCAACTTGCACACGAGCCCTCCGGGATTTTACGCCCTTTTCCGAGAAGGCTAGGTGTAGATCTTTCCTTCCAGAAGATCAGGAGTGTGGCTGAAAGACAGCAGTATGAAGGAGCCTAGGAGTAGCAGTAGAAAGGCTGCAGAAAGAGTCAGGAGCCCAGAGGAGAGGGTTAAGGATGTGAAGGGGTTGTGGCAGAAAGTGGATACAAAAGCAGACGACAGAACATGGTTGGAGATCAGGATAGGGGGTGAAAGGAGACTATTTTAGAGAAGAAAATTTTTCCGTCGCTACCCGGATTCGAACCCGGGACCTTTGAATGAGAGGCAAACACCTTAGCCTCTAGGCCACGAGAGCCCCCTTTGTAAGAGTTGTGCCCCACTTGTAATACAAATACAAAACAAAAGTGCCGCGGCATCTTTTGTATGGTTAACGCGGAGAAGTAGCTAAATAAAAGAGTTATGTTGATGTTGTTGTTGTTGTTGTTGTTGTTGTTGTTGTTGTTGTTGTTGTTGTTGTTGTTTGTTGTTGTTGTCGATCCTGTCAACCCAGAATAGGTGATGATCCATACTCTCATATGCATTGTCACACAAAGGACATGTTATTGGGGGAAGTTCTGGTTTTATTCTGTTCAATTGGAAATTGAGTTGTGTAGATCTATGTGTTGTTCGTAGGTGGAATATCGTGGTCGGTTTCTTTCTCTGTAGGTGATTGATATTGTCATTTGGTTTGTGGTGGTCATACGTTTGAAAACTGCTCTGCTTGTCTTTCCCATAGCCCATCCGATAAAAGACTGATAAAACCTACTCTGTTGCTCTCCATTTTTTTGCACTGTTGCTACAACTACTGATAGATAATATTCTTGTTGATTGTGAGTATGATGTTACTTTGGTTGTAGTTATTTTAGGTAGAGAGATGAGTAGTCGTGGGTTGGGGGG